TTTCGTTATCATCCGGTAGTCGTGTCACTTCAGACGTTTCGCCATCATCCAGCAGTCATGTCACTTCATAGGTTTCGTTATCATCCGGTAGTCGTGTCACTTCAGACGTTTCGTCTTCATCCAGCAGTCATGTCACTTCATAGGTTTCGTTATCATCCGGTAGTCGTGTCACTTCAGACGTTTCGTCTTCATCCAGCAGTCCTTTATTTTTATTTTACATTTTTTAGTCATCTTAATTTTTATCGAGTTATTATTTATTAACTAGCGGACCTTCTTTCTATAAACCTCAGTGCCATATCTACTTGTATTCATACAGATTCCCTATTTCAGAGATATTATCGTCCAGTCACAAAATCTCTCTCAAATCTTTTTTTATCCTAGGCCTATTCCTCGTGGAAATCAAACTTCTCACTGCCTGTACAGCGTAATGTAATCTCTCAGTCTCTGACATAATCATTTTTTTCAGTTGTTCTCTGTTAGGTCTAGGAAACTTGTTATTTTTTCTGGTACACTATATTTTCTATTTGTGTATCTGTCAAAGTCAATTCTTGATTTATTTTTCTTTTCTTATACGACTGGCCAAACTAGGGGAGACCGAGGCTAGTTGTTACGATTTTTAGAAAAAGTCCAATATCTAGCGAAATAACCCGAATCATACATTGAAAGTGAAAGATAAATATGTACTTTATCAAAATTATGTATTCTATATTGAACAAAATTGGTTACATAAAAGATTTTGTAAATATTTTGAAGTAAAGTCAAGTGTAACAATATGCTCCGGATGCGGGGTAAGTTGATATAATAGGTGGGGCATCTTGTTATACAATAAAAAAAATCTGGAATATTTACCAAAATTAGCCTACTCTATCATGCTAAATGTTATAATAAGCCTACTGTAGTTTTCTCATAACATCTAGCATGTTAGAGTATAAGCCTAATTTCAGTAATTATTCCGGATTTTCTATATAATAATTTTCGATATAATAATTTGTGGGGATGCCTTCCTGAAAGGTCTTATCATCTCTGGAGTTCTCAGAGGGTCTGATGTCTTCCTGTTGGTAGGAGGACTATTCATTAGTACGTCTTCACTAGTAGATGATGTCTCCGAGTTTTCTGTTGATACTTCATTTGGCAAGGGGCGATCTGTTACGTTGCTGGGTAGAAAATCATCATCTGAAAAAATGTGACGGTCAAAAGGATATATGCCGGAAACTTGAAAACTTTTCTTGATATTTTCTGGAGTAAGCGCTCATGTAAGGCTTTGATTTACTAAGGTTGGTATGTCATAAATGCACATTGTTTTTCCAAGATTGTTGTTTAGCCAACCGTCAGCTGCTGCATTATAATACTTCTTGAAAGGCCCATATATACTTCTCTCCAGGGGCTGTAATCTGTGCGAACAGTGAGGCGGGAATGAGAGAAGATTTATACCATTTTCCACACAAAAGTTGATACAATCTAAGCTGATATGTGACTCATGGTTATCAAGGAGAAGAACAATAGGATGATCCTTAGAACATTTGACTGTCTTCACAAAATGTTCCATGAATTTTAGAAAATTATATTCGGTCATCCAACCTGAAGGATATGCTGCACCGATCCATCCAGCTGGTCCCCCGTTTAGGAAGTGATCTTTGAAATGGACGCGTGGGAAAATAAACATACAAGGAACACTGTTTCTTAATGCATTGACTGCAGTAAGAATTGTCACAAGTGTACCTCTTTCATCTGAGGTTATCGCCCCCACTTGCTTTACACCTTTTTGATGAACTTTGGGGCATGTTGTAACAATATGCCCCATATCGACATGGGGTATAACAATGTCTCCATACTAATTCATCGTCAAACAACATAACTCAATGTTGTCGTATATTAAGATGTATTAACTATCGAAGTCTACAACTGAGAAGAACAGTATCAAAACACAGTATATAAAGAGTAAATAGATATTTCCTAGACTTTT